CACATACTAAAACAGTTAAAATAGTGCCTTTGGAGGAAAGTATGGTGGGGATGAAATATTATACCTGTGTGTCTTACTGATAGATTGCAAGATTTTTTTTATCAATCAGTATATATTTCTTGTATAATAAAGAAATAAAAATGTAATGCATAGTACTTATCTATAATAGACATAGAAAAACTGACATTCTTTAAGAAATTTATGATTGAAGAAATGTAACACTTCAATAAGGTTCAAAGTGGTCCCAAAATTATGTAAAAGATTTGCTTTTATTATAAATCTTTATCTTTTACTCAAATCCTACCATCCCTTTTCATATTTTCTCTATATATTGTTATACATATAACAGAATCAAGAAATGAATTTTAATCAAAAAAACCAATCTATATGAAATAAAGTATTATAACTATCAGAGCAGAAGACATAGATCCTGTAAATTTAAATATGACAGAAAAAAGAATCCGTCTCATATTCTCCCTTGTTGGTTAATATCACATTGTTGGGTATAGCCTAGTGTTCTCAAGGTTTAGTCTACCTCCAAATCACCTGAAGACTGTAGGCTGAGCATGGTGGATACACACAGACATTTATCCACTCTCTCTCCTGAAACCCCCTTAAAATAACAAGGGATTTTTTAAAGCCTTTATTGTGACAGAGACCAAAACAAAGAAAAGGAAACAGGAGAAACCAAACGCAAGACTATGAACAGAAAAAAAAATCTCACAAAAATTAGAATTGCTATCTTTAGAAAAATAAGGGAAGATAGAAAGTGGATAGAGGTGTGGCCAGCTGGCTTAGCTCATGTGAGAGAAAGATGCACATAGGTCACTTCTCATTGGACTACTCCTACACAGTCATTTTAGCCTTCGACAAACACTTGGTGACATCTCTTATCCGTTCCATGTTTATCTGTTCGTGTTCATCTGTTCTGTATTCATCTGTTAAGAGTCTTAAGGCTTTTAGACTCTCAAGCTTCAATATCAGCTGATTGGGCAGTAAAGCAAGCAGATCTCTAAATGTCAGCATTTAGAGTTTTTGAAGAACAGACATCTTAACTTTGATGGTCTGATTTATTAATGTTTTTCTTTTGTGATTAGTGCCTTTGGTTTTCTGCTTAAGAAATGTATGTTGGAGGCTGGCCAAGATTGTCGACTAGGAGCAACTAATGTGTGCTGCAGTCGGAGAGAAAGAGAAGGGCTAAGTAAATGCTGCACCTTCAACTGAATCATCCAGGTACATGCATTGGAATTCATCAAGGAAACAAAGAAAAGCAAGGCAGGATGACCACCCACCTGGTAGTAACATGGAGTCAGTGGGGCCTCCCCTGCCCAGGGAATTGCTGAGAGGGTAAGGGACTCTGAGTAACCCACACTTCCCCCATGGATATTTGCAACCCTCAGGTCAGGAGATCCCCTCATGTACCCACTCCACCAGGGCCTGCAGTCTGACACAGAGAGCTACTTGGACTCTTGGCAGAACCGCTGCTCAAGCACACATGGAGCCCAAGAGTCTTAGATAGCCAGGCTCACCAGCAAAGCAGCTGCAACTCTGGCAAAGCAAGAGATTAGATCCCCATGCATAACCCAGGGAAAGGGCTGAATCCCAGGGACTGAGCAGTGACTATCTGCAGACCCTGCTCCTATGGCATCTTTCAGGATAAAACCTACTGGCTTGGAACCACAGCCAGCCACGTCCCTGAGACATCACTCCCAGAGCGAGGAGTCGGCCACCATCTTTACTATTTTGCAGCCTTAGGCGTTGTTGGCTTCAGACCTTAGAGAGTCCGAGGCAGCTAAGGGCTGCAGCCGACACAGTGCAGATACTCCAGGAAAGCGACAAGACTGCTTTTTTTTTTTTTTTTTT